ATATATATATATATAGATACATGTACATGTACATATATATATATATACACAACACATACTTACATATGTGGAGATCTTCAAAAACAGACCCACGTAGCAGATACAGATCCCGATACAAATATATAGAGATATAGATATGGGTACATGTATAGATAAATATGCAGGTCACATATTCATATATAGAGATAGATGCATGGATATGTATGTGTATGTATATAGATATAGATACAGAAATGCAGACCTATAGATATAGTTATGGATATTTTTCTATCTATCTATATATATATATATATATAGACCTGGCTACAGATACAAGTAAGGATGAACATGTAGCTATTGAGAAAGATGTCGAATATTGAAATAGATGTAGATACAGGTATAGATATCCTCTGTCCCCCAAACCCCCAACTCAAACCCCACGCTGTGTATCACATCATGCTCCATGTGGGAGTTTCCGAAAATTTGGGGGGTACCTTATTTTGGGGTCCTTAGAATAAGGATCCTATTAGTTGGGGTACTATATAAACCCTAAACCCTAAACCCTAAACCCTAAACCCTAAACCCTAAACCCTAAACCCTAAACCCTAAGCCCTAAACCCTAAACCCTAAGCCCTAAACCCCCATGTCCTGATGGTTTAGATTTTGAGAACTCAGAGAGCCCGACACCTCTTGATTTCAGCATACCCCTTGGTTTGTCGAAGGGCTCCTATTATGATTTGAGGGTTTAGGGTTTAGGGGTTTAGGGGTTTAGGGTTTAGGGTTTAGGGTTTAGGGTTTAGGGTTCAGGGGTTTAGGGTTTAGGGTTTTGAGGTATCACCTAGTCAAGCGTCTTGAGCCAAACATTAAACCCTAAACACTACATTCATCTCGGTTCATGTCAGCTCCACATAGACACCACTGCCACGGCGGTTCCGGAAAACGGGACGTCCAACGCCTAAATCCTCAATCCCTAAGCAAAACAGCCCTAAGCCCTATACCCGAACTCACCTGAACCCTGATTCCCTCAGCCCTAAACTGCCTGAAGCCCAAACGACAAGTCGCCTCAATCCTGAAACCCCTACTTGGAGGCCCAGGGGACTTAGTAATTCGGTTATAAGTAGAATTATAAGTAGGGTAACTCCATTAAGGGTACTTATACGTCTACCTACAACCTACTTACCAAGTCCCCTGGGCCTCCAAGTAGAACCCTAAAGCATATACCCTAAACCCCTAAGCCCTAAGCCCTAAACCCTAAACCCTAACCGTAGGCCCCAAACCTCAAGTCCCCTGGGAATCCAAGTAACCCCTAGCTAAACAGACGCTGAGGCAGCAGCTGGACCTGCACTCCCTGATCCACCACTCGGTGCCCTTTTGCAGGTGGCCCACCGTTGAAATACCCTTCCTGGGCTTTGGAGTACCATACTTAAGTACTTTTTTTTGGGACCTGTTCCTTAAAGGAACCATTATGAAATAAAAGTCTATACTGTTTTTTTTGCCTGGTTACTTCAAAGCCCAGGTTCCTTGAAGCCCCATGAAACCGGACAAGACCCTATAACTCCCGCTGGTGCATATTTTTTCCTTAACCAGGTGGTATTGGGCTCGCCGTGGTTACGGCTTTTTCTTCCCTAAGGCTACTACGCCGATGTTGGGCATTGGTGTGGGCTAAATTCAAACCCTAAATCCCTAAACCCTAAACCCTGAACCCCTTAAACCCCAAACCCCTAAACCCCTAGACCCTAAACCTTTTAAACTCACATCCTATAAACTCCACGCTCAGAGCCTCACATCCCGTACCTTGCGTTCGTGGCCACAGCAGCGAGACCCTGAACTCTTAGGGTTTAGGGTTTAGGGTTGAGGTTTGGAGGGTTAAATGAGGGGCCTTAATCATTAGAATAGGGCTTTGGGGTACATTATACTAGAACCCCCCCCCACCAAAAAAAACTATTCTAATTACTAAGGCCCCTACATTAGGGTTTAAGGTCAAGTCTGCAAGCTTAAGATTGCGATCGCTTCTGCAACCGGAGCAGGACTCGTCGGCGGAAGCAGTTGAGTTTGATAGATGCAGTTTCCACGGTTTAGGGTTTAGGGTTTAGGGGGTGTCTGAGCTGTTCGTGTTGTTGTTATCAAGACAAGAACGGGCAAAATGGCTGCTAGCGGCTGTTATTTTTGATCTTCTTCTGGTCACTCTGTCGGGGAAGAGCCCTGAGTTCTGCATAATTAAGCTTCACGCAGAGTTGCCACCTGAATCAAGGGTTTCTAGAACCCTTTAGGCTGCCAACCTAATACCGTTCAGTTCACCTCAAATAGCAACTGCCCTTTCGCGGGCATTACAGACGATTTTTAAGCAACCATAAATATGGAGGTTGTATGGTCAGTTCTCTAAAGTTGAGTCCCTTGTAAGGTCCCCAAAAGAGTACGGCGCCGCCAAAAAAAAGGGATCCTAAAAGGGACCCTAATTTAATCAGAGAACGCAAAGTTGATTCTAGCGACTTCTTCCACTCTATGGTTGCAAGGATTCAAGCTAACGCGGTCTACGTTGGGGGTAGCCTGATACAGACAGGGCGACTTGCCTATTGGGATACGCCCGCAAATGTAAAACCCCGCAAATGTAAAATCGAACTAAGGCCGAGGCTCTTGCGTACAAGTCGAAGCCCCAAGGGTTTAAGGTTTGGGGGTTTAGGGGTTCAGGGTTTAGGGGTTTAGGGTTTAGGGGTTAAGGGGTTTGGGTTTAGGGGTGTAGGGCTTAATAGGGATTCCGGGTTTAGGGTTTACAGGGTTTACAGGGTCGGGGTTTTACGGGAAGCCCGAAGACGAAGAACTGACCAGGAGCAAGCAGCAGCACAAGAATCTTGTTGGAGGCGTGGCGCCCCTAAACCCTAAACCCTAAACTCTAAACCCTAAACCCTAAACCCTAAACCCTAAGCCTTAAACCCTAAACCCTAAACCCTAAGCCCTAAACCCTAAACCTAAGGTTTTAGGGTTTAGGGTTTAGGGGAGTCAGCTTGGGGATGTATGGTCCAAGGGCTTTAGGAGGGACCCTTAAAAGGGACCCTTGTAGGATTTTGGGGTTAATATGGAGACTACCTGGCTATATAAGGGGTATATAAGGACCATACAATGGTCATTTAAGGTAATGGGATTAAGGGTCCCTATAAGGGGGTCCCTCCTAAAGTCCTTAGAATGGATTTTGTTGCGGCTTCAGGCCTTAGCCCTCACTCAGGGTCCATGTGCCCAAATGGTATAGACTTTGGCCCCAGAGTACTTATATCGGTAGTTCTCTAAATTAGGGTCCCTTTTGGTGTCCTTTTTATATGGGTGCCGTACTATATTGGGGGCCCCAAGAGGGACCCTATTTTAGAGAACTACCCATATAGGGATTTCTTGACGACTGAGGTATATACTATTTGGGCACATGGATCCTTAGAGTAGTTTAGGGTTTCAGTGGGGTTTGTGTAGTCCTTAGTCAGGGACTCAGGGCTGTGTGTTCAAGAGTTTAGGGTGGTATCGCATTTGGCATTAATTCTTCAGTCGCGATGCTGACATTCCCATGGGCAGATCTGTAAAGGCAGCGGGAGGGGGATCGAGCTGGATAGATTTGATCTGCCACTGTAAAAGATCCTTCAAGAACCCCTAACCCCTAAACCCTAAACCCTAACCCTAAACCCTAAACCCTAAGCCCTAAGCCCGAAACCCCAAACCCCAAACCCCAAACCCTAACTCGTGCACTAAGACAGCGGTTCTTCCATTGTGACAACCAG